TATGTGAAATTTGACCATTGGTCTGTGTGTGTGTGTGTGTGTGTGTGTGTGTGTGTGTGTGTGTGTGTGTGTGTGTGTGTGTGTGTGTGTGTGTGTGTGTGTGTGTGTGTGTGTGTGTGTGTGTGTGTGTTCTACTTGCACATGCAAAGCCACGTGAGACCTCCACCCCACCACACCATGCGGGCCGGGGGTGGTTGGGGGGAGGGGGTGGTACACGTGATTGTTGCAGAGTGAGAAGAGTACTGTGATCGCATTGGCTGAAAAGCATGATGGGCACACGCACACACACACACATACAAGTACGTACAGTGTAAAAATCAGTACATAACCAATCATGAATATAATTTTTTTTTTTACATTTTCATCACCGACTTCTCCATATTCCATTCTTTTAGTAAATAAAAAATAAAATAAAAACTCAAGAAGAACGATGATTGCCCCCCTATTTTTTTGCGCCAAACAAGGGCCATTTTTAATAAAGATAATGAAAATTTCTTCCGCGTTTGCCACGAAGCGGAGAACGAGACCACCAAAGGGAGTGATAGCTAGACCAGGGGGGAGGGGGAAGCTAGCCAAAAGGGGGGGAAGGGGAAGCTATCCTAAGGGGGGGGGGAGAAGCTATCCTCAGGGAGGAGGGGGGAAGCTAGCCGAAGGGGGGGGAGGGGGATTTATTACTGTCGGCCGCGACGTAACGCGATCATCATGTCTTCTCAACCTCATCTAGGACCCCAACCGAACCCCCCTCTCTTAACCCTGTCCTCTCCTGTGGGCCCCCCTCCCCCCTGCCTACCCCCTTGCCGTCTTCGTCCCGCCGTCCCCTATGCCGGAGCCGCCTCCTTTGACCACACTCTACGTTCCCTTTGTCTTTCTTATGTTCTTCTTTTTGATTCTTGCGTTTCATCATTTTCATTATCTTTCTTTTATTGCTACTTTGCTTCTTGCTCAGCTTCCTCCTCCTCTCTCGCTCCTCCCTTTCTCTGTCTTTCCTCAATACCTCCCTTCTTTTCTTCCTCATACCTTTCCCAACCCCCTCCCTAGTATCCACTCTCCCTCCTCCCCTGTCCTCCCTTGCCTCCCTTTCCATACCTCCCTTCCCTCCTCCCTCCCTCCCTCCTCTCCCTCCCTCACATTTTCCCACTCAAATTACCCATTCAGACGCGACGCGTAGGAGGCTCTCTCACATGCACCGACATGTGCGTCCTTGCTTGAGAACGTTTCGGACAATTGCGCTCGTGTGGGGACAAATGCACGAACGCACACACTCGGAATAGTCACGCTTTGCCCGCCTCGACGCAAGTACGAATGTGTACTTTGCATCCAGACACATTCACGCATAGTCGAGCACGCCAACGCACGCAATTGCACTCGAACACACCCCCTTCACGCATCCTCCACCTCCCTCACACGCACATGCAATGCGCTCCCGTGCTCATGCAGTTCTCCCCCCTTTTTCTCACTAGTATTACGAGGAACAAGAGTATAGCTTAGCACTTTGATCTGCTCTATGGATGGAACAGATTTCATGTAAATAAATAAACAAACAAATATATCAATCAATCAATAAAGCTAGGGTATAGACATTGAAATTATGATTGGGGATTGGTTAGCATTTTGATTTGCTCTACTGATGCAACAGATATCACGTAAAATAAATAAACAAACAAATAAATAAAAAAATAAAGCTAGGGTATAGACACTGAAAGTGTGATTGTGGATTGGTTAGCATTTTGATTTGCTCTATTGATGGAACAGATATCACGCAAAAATAAAGAAACAAACATATTGGGGATTGGTTAGCATTTTGATTTGCTCTATTGATGGAACAGATATCACGCAAAAATAAAGAAACAAATAAATAAATAAATAATAAAAAAACTAGAGGACTGCATGGGTGGAGACATTGAAAGTGTGATTGGTGATTGGTTTGTTAGCGGGCAGTTGCAACATGTCAATGGTAATTTGGTGATTGCATGCTTTAGATTGCAGGTAAACGAAGTTGCATGTTGCTGATACGCTGAATGGTAATGGTAGATGCATGAGATGATCCCCCCCTGGACGAATGGTGAATACATCGTGACAATATGAGTTGATGAATAAGATTGACTGTGATTTATTACAGAAAATGTGAATAGATCATGGACGAACTGCACGTAGTAGGTACATGTGAGATAATTCAGATTAAAAAAATACAAAATTAAATTATATGAATATAATTACTATCCATATATGTAAAAACAACTTATCAACCAGCTAAACGACTGCTGACTACTACAAAAATGTTAACTTATGGACAAAGAGCAACAGAAGGCGAACAACTTCTGGCTGTTCAGATAACGGTGAACACCCAACACCTATAGCCAAAAGAATATAAATTGATTACACAACAAGGAACAGCGAATAATTGATACCAGGATAGGAAACATAAACACATAAGAACTGAGTAAGACATAAGTAATTACAACCACTCAAGTAAACATACAGTAGCTAGTATGTACGTAAA